AGAATCATGGAATGGTTTGGGTTGGAAGAGATCTTAAGGGTCATCCAGTTCCAACCCCCTGCATGGGCAGGGACACTTCCCACCAGCCCAGGCTGCTCCGAGCCCCATCCAACCTGCCCTTCGACACTGTCAGGGATGGGGCAGCCACAGCTTCCCTGGGCAACCTGGGCAGGCTCTCACCACCTTCATGGTGAAGAATTCCTTTGTCCTATCACTCCCTGCCCTTGTTCAAAGTCCCTCCCCAGCTTTCCTGGAGTCCCTTCAGGCCCTGGAAGGTGCTCTAAGGTCTCCCTGGAACCTTTCTTCTCCAGGCTGAACACCCCAATTCTCCCAGCCTGTCTCCAGAGCAGAGCTGCTCCAGCCCTTCATTCATCTTTGTGGCCTCCTCTGAACTCTGTAGGAGCTCCATGTCCTTCTTATGTTGACGACTTCAGAACTGGACACAGTTCTCCATGTGGGGTCTCATGAGATACCTGTCTGGTTCTTCACATCTCTCTTTGCAACTCTTCTTGATTTAGAGCTAATGGAAAAACTTGCCAGCACTTTTTCTTCTGGTGATCTGTGTTTATCCCTCTGCCTGTATTTGACCTGTTGTCTCTTATGCTTAAATTGCAAGCTCAGAAGCCAGGGCTGCCTTCCTGGGCTGGAATGGTCTGTAACATAGCAGAACATGTTCTGTGCCAGGGTTCCTAGGAAACAGCCTAAGGAAAAGAATAAAATAATAATCTTCAGCTCTGAGGGAGATGGAGCAGGGTGGCCAGCAGGTACTGGTCCCAGAACAGCATGAGATCTTTGAGAGAAAACACTGTGGGAGATGTGCCCAGCCTGCCAAGATGGTACGTGTGAGATTCTTCCTCCCAGGCTGCCCACGTGCCAGGGATCTCCAGGAACCGATGACAAACAGAGATTTTCCTGAGGTACCAACTGCCTCCTGGCATCTGTTGTCTTCATCAGAATCATCCTCCCAGTTCCTTCCCACTACAACTGTATTAGCTTCATGTATGTTAATCAGCAACTCATCTAACCTTGCTTAGAAGAGGTCTGTACAGTGCTGAATGCCTCTGGAATGTCACGGGAAGGAACATGCTAGCGGAGATCAGATTACGTGTGTCAGTCTTTGAATTGGTTTAGTTATTGCTAGACCAAAATTGGAGCAGGTAAGTGGCTGTCAGGGATGCCTTTCAGGCTCCAAGAGCAGGCCCATGCACCAATTTGCTGTGGCATTTGATTCCCAACTCCTCACTGCAGTCTCAGCTTTCTTGGGAAGATGAGCCATAAGCTCCTTCTACTCATCTTGGGAGTCAGTTCCCTGTGCCTGGCCCTGCAGCCCTCCTGTCCCCTGCCTTTAATGACATTAATGATGTTAACCATGTCCTTGAGTCTTCCTGGATCCCAACGGCCTCTGGAGCCTCCTTGTGTCTTGGTGAGAGGAAACTGTCCCATGGTGCATCAAACCTCTTGAGTGCTCACCCTGGACGGACAGCCTGTTGCCATCAGAAACCACAGTAACATTGGAGCTAACAACGTTTAATAAATAGGGATTTTCTGCTTACACACAAGCAGTTTCACACTCTAATCCTCTCCTGTTCAGATTAACAGAGTGGAGACAGCACAGGAAAACCTTGAGCTGACTGAAGGGAAGAATTTTCCTAGGGATTTGAGCCTTTGCCAAGGAGCTAAAGAGAAAAGGCCAAGAGAAGTCCATGCTGACCTTCACTGAAAGAGCAGAAATTTTCACTGTGTTCTTCAGATGAACTTGAGAGACAGGGAAAGCAAATGGTGCTCAGGGGTCCATACCTTTTATTTGAGCTGCTCATAACAAAAATGGAGTTCACTTGGTTACAGCTTTTCAAGTAATGACACCTGCTGCAAGGGTGAGGAAAAAGAGAGAGATTCTTTACCAGAAAAAGAAAAAAAAGTGGTCAGTGTGACCTTTTATTTTAGGCCTCAAGTTGTTCTGGGAAGTGCTCTGAGCAAATATAATCTTTGGCATAAATCTAAAAATAAAAAAACCCAACCAACAACAAGCCAAATGATGAAGACCCTTCACTTCTAGCAGTTGCTTGGACACTACGTTGGGATTTGCCTTTGTCACCTCATGGCAAAGCCAAGTTTTCCTGGCCCTTCAGGATGTCTTCTGCTCCATAGCTGTGTTCCCTCTGGGTGGGCTGGAGTGACCTGTTAGGGCTGAGGGGAATTTGCTCTGAAGCTGCTGCTTCTTGTTTTCCCTGAGAAAAGAAACTGGTGACCTTTTCTGTGAGAATTTCTTGTGCCTCTAGTTTACCAGGAGAGCATCCTTCTGTCAGACACAGGAACCTCTCCAGTCTGAGGGGGTTTGTTCTGCTTTGCTGAGATACGTGTTGCTGAAACCACCTTTCTCTTCTCTTGCTTATGTTCTTTAGCCAAACATTGGCAGCACACCAAGGTAACTACCAAACTTCCTATTCTACTTGGTCAGCTGCTGTCACTGGGCTGTGAACACCTGCAAGCTGCCAAAACAACTGTTGTCAGTGGTAGAAGGGACTAGACTGGGAATCCTTTCATCTCCTGGCTCCCAGCACGTGGCTGTGGGGCTCCCACCGCTGTTGGGACAGCCCACGGGTGGGGATCCTGTGTCCCTCCCTGGCTGGAGGAAGGGGAAGCACAGCTCACCTTCTTCCTGCTTTTCCTGTAGCTCCAGGGAACCATTCCAAAACACCTCGTTATGACTTCAGCTCTTGAGGTCTTGGCAGTGATAGGAAGCCAAGCCCAAGTGCTTTCTGACTCTTCCCATGATGACTTTCTCCTGCTTCTGCATTAATCTTGTACCTTCACTGGTTGCGTCTTCACCTTTCTTCATACCTGCCCATCTTCATGTGCCTCATTTGCTTTCCAGGATAGACACACAAAGAAGTTGAATTAACTTTGGGCAGCCAGAAACCAGATATTTCCTCACTTCAACTAAGTTGATTTTACAATCCAAGTTAACATATTTCAGTGCACAGTTGGGGTGGTGATGATATTTAAGGTATTTATTTATGGTCACTGTGGTGGCATCCAAGAATAGTCTTCTGGAGGAGCTTGTCACTGCTGTGCTGACTGCTCTGCAGGCAGAAATGAAGGAACTTCTGTCATGAGTGGGTTTCAGGATGAGGATTAATGATACATGGTAAGACATGGAGGGGGAGAGGAACATGCCAAAGTGCTAAGTTTGATATGTGCTTGCATTTGCAAATTATCCTGACTAACTGCACTTCCTTTTCATTCTAACTGTATTTAGTTGTCTTGATTTTTTTTTTTTTTAATTGCTTCAGTGCATATTGTTCTGTAAAAGAAGGAGCTTCAGCTTCCATGAAAATAGCATAGTTTTTGATTAAAAGTAATTTGTGTTCTTGATTGAAAGCAGAATTGATAATACTGTGTACCTGAGCTGGTGTCCAAATTTTAAAAATCCAGTATTAATACAGAGAAAAGAAAATGAGAAAGTAGTAGAATATCTTAGTGAATAAAATGTAAGTTTAATTTGCGGGATATTTTTTGGTAGGATGATGAGATGTACAAAGGGGCTGTTGACACAGGTAGGAGAAAAAAGGAAACTCTCTCTGGGAAAGCAGCAGGGCTGTAGTGGTCAGTGGAAGGACCAGCAAGTGGGTATTCAAAAAGCTTTTTAGAAGAGTCTTGACATTAAGATGAGTGAGTGAAATTTGGGGTTGTGGTTGATCTTTGTTGCTTGTATGAAAATGTGCTTTGTTTTCTGATCCTTGGAAATTTAGTACATAAAAAGCAAAATGACACCACCATGCACTTAGAGATGTGAATGGTTTCAAGGCAGGTGGAGAAGGTTTTGACAGGATCAGCTGAATCTCAGTGTGTTGAGGGAAGAACTTCTTTCAATTTCCGCTGCATTGAATCTCCTCTGTCTACTTTCTCAGCCACTGATGTTCCCCCTGTATGTTTGACTTTGTCATTCAGGCTTCAGGAGGACACAGCCCAAAGACTCAGAATGGACTTTTGAGTGCTCCACAGGAACAAAAACTCAGCACTAGTCAAACCTCACTTTATGAAATATTGCAAGAGAAAGGAAGATGGGGCGGAGTGAGTCTGGATCAGTCAGCTCTCCTTCCTCTGAGGTTCAAAAACATCAGAGAAAAGACAGATGCTCACTTTGTGGAGGTCATTAAAGAAGACAGGTAAGGAAAATCCAGCTGTACAGTGTAAAGGCAAGAAGGCAGTAGCAGGGGCCCCATATCTTTATTTCTCTGCTTTTTGTCTGATGTCAATAATTATTGTTAACTTATGCCAAATGTTTAAAACTTATTTTGGGCAGAGGAAAGTGTGTTCTCCAGAATTCAGTAGCATGTGGTTTTTGTAAACACACAACCATATCTCTCTCATAATGGCAGGGGCTCTACTGGATCAGCTAAACAGGTAACTTGGCTTTGTTATTATTTATGACTATTCTTATTTTTGCTTCACTGCTTCCACTCAGATTAGAGGTATTTTATCTAAATATCCTTGAAACTCTGTGCTTGCATAGACTTCAGGCTGCTTGGAGCAGGGACACTTAACTGAAAATATGACTAAAGCAGGGAGAAGTGAGTGAGAGGGACACTAGTCCCTCTCCATTCTCTTCTCCAGGTTTTTTTCAGATTACCTTTCTCCTCTGGCCAACCTCAGTTAAAATTTAGGTTCCTTTTTTTATTTCTCCTCTGCACATGATCTGTCCTTAGTGCCTAAGAAGAGAGGTTCAGCTGATAACTATCAAATATTAGGAGACAGAAGGATTGGGAAAGTCCAAATGCTGGCAGAAATCAGCAAGAATAAGTTGGATTTTTGTTTACCATGCAACTAGCATGCTGCAAATTTGAACTTCAAGAAGTAGCTTATTTTTTGCTGTTGGTTTGCTGAAGATATCTAGCTCAAGCCCTGGTGTTCCTGGAGCTTTCCTCTTCCACTTAGAAAATGGATCCTTCTTTCTGATTTGGAAAAATGAAAAAGTAGGACCATGATTTAACATCAGCCAAAGCTTAGCTTGCTTTTTTTTTTTTCAATCTCAATTAAATATCATCACTACCATATTAAGTGGGCCATTTCTTGTTGCCAGGGAAACTTCTCTGCTCAGTTCAGTCCATGTAAACATAATTTTCCAAAAATAATCTTCTGATTAATTAGGTCTGTGCAAAATGGTTTAAGCCTACTGTCTTACACTAATCCTTTTTAACTTTTCTCAATATGAAGTTATATATAATAAAGTCATTTTAAAACAATTCTTTATCCCCCTCTATTAAACATAAGATATTTATCTCAGCAAATCTAGTTTCTGTGAAGGTGTTTGAATGGGAAATCTGAGTTTTCTCAGGGAAAGGGGATGGAGTCCAAAATTCCCCTTGGTCAGCTTACATGAAGCTCCATCTCCAAGTTTGCATCTTCCTACAACTTCATGAGTGTGTGGCTTGAGCTTGGAGTCTGGCTTTCCCACAACCACCATAAAAATATGTACTTAGTTCTTTGTAACCTGCATGCTACTGCATATTTTTAAAGAAAACTCTAGTGTTAAAGAGGACAAAATGTTTAAACTCAATTTCATCAGGAATACCCTCAAAAGATTCTCCCTTTTTAGATTTTTGTTTCCAAGGAAGGTTCTATATTCCTTAGGTTAGAAACCTTTTGAAGTACAGGGAACAAATACCCATGTGCTGCTCAGGACAGTACATACAAATGATCTATTCAGGCTTACAGAGCAGAGTCCTGGGGCAATGCAAAGCTCCTCCCAGAAGCCAGATTCTGTGCAGCCCTTCATCCCCTTCCTTGGGTCAGTTTCCTCTTTAAATACTTATAAATGTGTTGATTTCTTTCATCTCCTACTTCTGTCTTGCTTGATTCAGGGAAAACAGAAATCACCTGTGCTGGGAAGCAGTTTATATACTTGACTTGTGTTCAGCCAACTAAGCTGGGGTCTTCCTCTTTGGGACAGAGCTACTGAGATGGAGCTGGGCTGATGTGGTACAGCTGGATGGCATCAGAAATGCTGCTTTCAGCATGTCACACCTTCTCTTTCGTGCTGCAGTGCCAAACTGGATTGTTCTTCCTACATCTTTAGGCCATTGCAGCTCCAGCACAACATCTCCATACTCTGTTGAGCTTCCCTGGAGGAAGAAAGTGGTAATATTTTTAAAAAGAAAGAAAAACACTGGCAAAATTTGTGTAATGAGATGTTCTTAGAAACATCTGTGAGAGGTGAGTGAGGGAAACAAGGAAGGATGAAAAAGAGAAGGGGGACTTAAGTGAGGGAGTCCTGTCATTCCTTCAGACTACCCTGATATTTTTAATATATTGGCCAAGACCAGCATGTCTAAAGGTTATAAGGGATCTGCTATATTCACGGTTGAAGGGTTTTGTCTTCTCAAGCTTCAGTCTAGGATTGTGTGGTTGGTTGGTCTCTCATCTCAAGAAAAAATTGCTTCCCACATGCCATCTTGTGCTGGGGAGCTTGTACTTCCAAAAACCCCTCTTTGCCAGGGGTTCAAAAAACCCTACCACCAACACAAACCAAAACTAACCAAACAAAAAGGATTCAGACACAGATGAGCTCTGTGGGACCTCTCAGTTCTTCATCTCCTTGGAATCAATCACATGCACATCTCTGGTGTTTCCTCAAGAGTTGTCGACTGCAAAATAGTCCAGTTGGTTGTTGTTCAGTGCTGCAGTTCTCAGGGTAGGGACAGCACTTGAAATCAAGCTGCCCTGTTACACATTCTCCAGCAATTTTAAAACCAGATCGTTGACTGTGGATAACAAGTGGAATTGTTTGCTCAAAAGTGAGCAAGAGTGTGTGTTCTGAAGCCTCAGGTGAGGCCTGCACAGCAGAGAGGTGACAAGAGAAAGAAAATGTTTGCAGATCAAGTGACATAGATGTCATTACAAGCTTCTTTCATAAACCTCTTAGAAATAATGTGAAACTAAAAAAAATGTATTTTTGCTCCAGAGGGTGGAGAATAGAAATGACTTTTTAATGATTGAGGCCTCTTTATGTTTGAGTTGGTTTGGTTTTTTTCCTGCACCTGGTGCTGGAAGATAAGGTGCAGGAGGGCATGAACACCCTCTGGCAGATGCTGCCTCCTGGGTCCTTAGTGATCAGTTCCATGATCTGTCAGAGCTTTTGTTGAGGATTCAGGTGATTTCAAGTCTTCTGTTTCAGAAGTAGGTGTAAGCTATCCATCTCCTCAGGTTCCACTTCTCTGTGGCCTGGTGCATTAAGGGACTGTTCCCAGCAGAATTATTTTAGTGTCTTTGAAATAACAAGACAGTGCTTTTTTCTAAAATGGACGATTGTTTGGGTTTTTTCTAACCATTTATCACCTTTGACATCCTTAGCTCTCTTTGAAGGATGGGATTCCACCTAGGACACACACATTCCACAGCCACGTGTCTCCCCAGGTTGTGCCTCTGTAGCAGCAACTAACCTTTACTGTTTGCCAGCTTATTTTACAATGATCCTTAGACATCAGCAGATGCAGCTGTTAACTTTCTGGAAGGACTTGTTATTCTTTTCCTGAAAATAGAAAAGTTTACACTCTTGTTTGTTTGTAAAGTATTTCCTTTGATGAGCAAGTGAAGAAAAGCTCCAGAAACTTCCAAGCCAGGCACCAGCATCCCTGGAAGCAGACACCACAGAACAGGACACTGAAAGAGTTACAGCTGAATAAACTGATGTTGATTTTGTTCTTTTCAGCCTCATGAAAGACTACTTCTTTAAACCTCCTATCAACAAGCTGAGCCTGAACTTCTTGGATAAGAATTTGGAGAAGGCCTACAGATCAAATTACCAGGAAGAGGTGTGTTTCCCCCCACGTTGGTTTCCTTCTGTAATCTGTCCAAGCAACTGTCATTGTGCTTAGCACATTTCATTGCAGTTGATGACAAGGGTCATGAAATATCAGATGTGGTTTAGTACTTGGTATTGCTGCTTCTGGAAACAGTCTCATCTCACCTGTCTTGTGCCATGCCCTGAGTCTAGACCAACATATAGGCTGGAAATACATTTTTACAGTCCACCAAGATACACACATGACTTCTCACCTGCCTTTTCTCCATTTTCAGGTTAATGTTTTAAGGCTTTAGGCAGGCCAAAGCCATGCTAAGATGAAAGGACTTAAATGCTACTTGCCTTCTCACCAAATACCCTCATTTTGTCAGTGGGAACTTTTAATTTTATTGTTGTTCATGTCACAGCCTCGTGATTATCCCTGAACAACCCACACCTGCTCTGAACTCAAATGTCCTGAGTTCCCTCACTGTGCTGCAGTCAGAAACAGGCAGTTCAAAACACTGTACCATGGAAAGGAGCAGTGAGGAAAGTGTAAGGAACTTGGTGCCTTCTTCAGGATCCTGCACTGAGTGTAAGAAGCCCTTAGTTCCCTTGGGGGCTGGTAGTATTGCAGCTTCCCATGTTCTGGTTGAGATGAGCTAGCAAGGTGCTTCAAGTTTACATATAGTGACAATGGATGTTGGTACCAACTGAGGCTGCCTTGCCAGGAGGAGCTGAAAAGCTGCTGCCAAAATAAAGGCAATTCATCTCCCCTCCTTGTTCCTACTCGTCCCCACTCCTAATGGTTCTGGTGCTGATCAGGCTTCCCAGCTGTGAGCCAGTTCAGTTTTCTAGCCTAGCATAAAATAGTCAGGGTTTATTTTTCTGTTGGGGGTTTTGGTTTTTCTGTCTGGGTCTGTTTTCTGCTGTATTGAACCAGCAGCTCTCAGAGAGGTTGGCAAGTGCCAGAGCAGTGCAAGAGAGAAGCGTCCAGCAGCAGGAGGGGGAGTGAGCCCTTCCCTTCCAGTGATGTTGAGCTGTTAGTTTGGCTCATCCATTTCCCAGAATTGTATTGGAAAATGTAGGTGTTGGTGTCTTCTCTTCCCAATATGTCCAACATCTGAGGGCAGGTAAGATTTCTGCTTCAGTTGCTTGTTGCTTTCTGTTCATAGGCTCTGTTGTCACATTGTCTTTAGCAATAACCCCTATTTACTCATTTTCCAAAGTTTACAAATGAAATCTAACTTACTTTTTTTTTTAACAAAAGGCAGCATAAATGTGTTGCAGTTCAGTTTGTTCACTTTGTTCAGGAGCTCCATCCTTGTCCTGCAGCACTGGGTTCCAGTGGTGTCTCTCTGGATGGAGCTTATGTAGCAACAACAAGGAGAAACTTCTCATGGGACACAGCCTGCAACATTTGCCCAAACTATATAGAAAATAGTAAATCAAGTTGTTTTTTTCTGATGGAAAGATTGGAAAGAAAAGCAAAGCAGTGATAGTCAAACATACACAGATTCACCTATTAATGTGGGAGATTCCTAGAAGGAGCAGGAGTGGGGTCTGTGCATTTTGTTAGTGCCAGTTTACTAATTAGAAAATTATAATGGAAATCTCCCTGGAAATGGGAATCTGCACTGCAGCATTGGGGCAAAACCTGTTAAAGCCTTAACATTAGCATAGTACTGGTCCAAAATAACAGTCTTCTCTTGGGAGAGTGACATGATTTGTCAGCACTGCTGGTTAGTGAATGAATTGCCTTGCAGTGAACTGTTGCTGAGTTACTTCCAGCTCTGAATTCACCTCTCCTTGCACAGTGCCAGCTGCATCCCAGGTTTGTGATGGTTCTTGGTGAGCTGCTCCACTTCCCAAGAGCTTAGCCTGTTCTTGTTAGGAAATTAAGGCACTACTTAACATAGGGAATCCTTATGGAACTTAGGGCATCCTTAATGCTGCCATTTTAGGCTGCAGTGCTGCTTTCTGTAATTCAATTTCTGTGTCTTTCTGTGTGGACTAACATGATTCTGCTGCAATTCAGATGAAAAGGCAATTCTGGCACTGAATGGTGCTAACTGAATATATTAGTTGGCAGAGAGTACAAATGAGGAACAAGTTCATTTCCCAATACTGCAGAATGCAGATAATGTTCTAATGAGCAGAAGAGATTTCCAAATTAAACCAGAGTACAAGACTGTGGTATTCAAACTGGGGCTACTTTGTGGTGATATGGATAACATACTTTTTGTTTTTCTTTGGAACTTGCTTTCCTGTGGTCTCCTGGGCAAGATGTAAGCACTGGGCTCATCTGAGTAAGCCAGGATGTGGAGCTCATCATCTAGTTTTCAGCTGGACTGGCCAAAGCAGCACAGAGCACAGCTGCACAAGCACAGGGCCAGGACAAGATGGGATGGGAATGTGTGGTAAGGGGTTATGGAGGGGCAGAACTTGGTGTCCTGGGCTCAGTTCAATGTCCTGATCAGTTCAGATTACACAGCCTATCTATTGCTGCTCTTAATCTCCTCTGAAGGGGAGATGTGAACTCTGCCACAGGCAAGGAACTGTTTCTGTAGGGTGGGGGGGGGGGTTTCCTAGAGAACCATCAGAGCCAAAAGCTTTACTGTAAAATCTATTCTTATTCCAAATTAAACTCCTTGAAGAAAACTCCTTATAGCTTTATCTGCTGGTAATGGTGGGATTTGTGTTTCTTTCCATAGAACAGGCAACTTTCAGAATATTCTGTAGAATGGCTGTTATCAGTCCACTAGCTGGAACATTTGCTGATAGTTAAAAAGAGAGCTTACTGAAAGAAAATAAAAATCAGTAAAAGGAAAATTTGCTTCATCCTGGCTCAAACCAGGACATCAGCCCAGACCCCTGGGGCTGTGCTGCCTCTGTTGTTTTTTCTCACAACAGATTTCTTCTCAGGGAACTGTGAGAGCCATTGAACTACCCCTTCTGCTTCTGGTTTCAGAATTGTATTTGTGATGGATTAATGAAGTGGCAAAATATTCTGTCTTTGCTTTGGTTTTGTGAGCTGCTGTTTATAGTACAGTTGAATTCAGGAAAATAGAATTTCTTCTTTTTGATCCACACAGGTGATAAGGAATACTCCAGCAAAGACATTTGGCAGTGCTACCTTCAGCTGGTTCCTGGATGTCTTCCTCTCCACCGCAGTCTTCCTTATTCTCTCCATCATCTGTTTTCTGAGACATGGGGAGGTTGCATCCCCTCCACCAACTACAGCAGTCGTGGTGTTCATCGTTGCCATCCTGCCAACAGTGCTGTCCCTTTTCATCGCAATTAGGTAAATAAACTCAAAGAAAGTATTGAAATAGCAGAGAGAACTAAACTGGTGGCTGGCTTGGGAGCATTTTGTTTGACAGCATCCCAGGAAGCTGTAGAAGCCTCATCCCTGGAAGTGTTCAAGACCAGGTTGGATGGGGCTTGGAGCAACCTGGGCTGGTGGGAGGTGTCCCTGCCCATGCAGGGGGTTGGATCTAGATGATCTTGAAGGTCCTTTCCAACCCAAACCATTCCATGAGTCTGTGACAAGACTGGGGTTGTATTGTATTCAATAAAGCTCATGCTCTCCTGGGTGTGTTGTCTGATGTATAGAGATATCACCTGTAACCTATTATTAACCCAGATAAAAGACCTAGTAATAAGTTGTTTGTCTATGCTTGTGAGAACAAGTTCATTCTGCCCTCCCCAGCCCCTGTTTTCACTGCACTCCCTTCTGACACAAAGAAGGGAGTTTTAGAGAGGGAGGTGTGGAAATGTGTGTCCTTCCTTGTAGCTTTGCAAATCTGTGAGGTATGTGGAAGTTCAAATGCTTTGGTAATTATAGTTCAAAAGAAGCAGCAGATTGCAGTTTGCATTCTTCTTTTGGCTTTCCAGTGTCAAGGTAAAAGTACTTTAATCACTGAAGCTTCACTCAAACCATTCTGTGATTCTGTGATGATGGTTATCTATAAAAAATAGCAGTCTTTGTAGGTGACCATCTCAGATGCTTTCTGGTATTTTTTGCGTTTTAAAGGTAAAGGTAAAGACATATTTGGGGGTACTTTTGTAGGAAAAGGTGTGTGTTTTCATAGACTCATTATAGAATGTTTTGGGTTGGAAGGGACCTTAGGGATCATGCAGTCCCAACCCCCTGCATGGGCAGGGACACCTCCCACCAGCCCAGGTTGTTCCAAGCCCCATCCACCCTGCCCTGAAGCACTTCCAGGGATGGGGCAGCCACAGCTTCCCTGGGCAATCTCTCCAGTGTCCCACCACCCTCATTTTTTTTACTTGAAGGTATTTTGCTTTGTATTTATAATATGTATTTACATTATAGGAAATAAAAAAAACACACTTTGGGGCTGCTCTGGTCTCCACAACCCAAGGCACACACTTTTTTCCAGTCCAAACAGAAGAAAAAAGTCTTCTTCCTCTTCAAATCCTCTTCCAAACGAGGACTGATCACTCTGACCACTCGTTATGCACAGAAACAGAGCAGAGCTTCCTGTGTAGTAATGTCATCCCAGATGACAATCACAAAATACCACCGAGATATCTTGAGGGAGGAGATTGGACTACAATGCTGGGCACAATCCCAGAATTTCAGGAAAAGGGATTATTTTAAGACCAGAAAATTCTTGCCTAAGTTTCTCATTGTATTTTGATTATTGTGATGTGAAACACCCTGCCTTGAAACCAGTCTGAAGTTCTAATTGAATCCAGGACTCAGCCTAGGAAGTACTTGCTGCAGCTCTTGTGGCTGAGGTCCAGCTGCAAGCAGGGAGAGGAGAGCCCTACCCCTGCCTGTGCTGTAGGTGAAACTCATTCCAGAGGAGCAGAAGTCGTCATGGAGCAAGGCTGATTAGGGAGGAGGATGTTTTGATTCCTCTGAAGTGTCTGTTAATAAATTATTGGAGCATCTATAAATGAGGATCCCACTGTTACCTTAAGTGCCACTCGAAAATTAATTGTAGAAAGCTGCATGCAAATCATGGTGCTTCATTTGTGAGCATGTGGAAGGTGTCACCTCCTGTTCTGTAAATGTAGTGCAAAGAATGTCCTTTTGCCCACTTGAAATGTGGCTGCTTGAACTTGCATCATTTCAGTGGAAAGGTTAGAGGTCCTACAGTTCTGCCCTCTTATAAAAATACCTTGGGAAATGTCACTGAGCATAAGCAGTGTGTGAGATTTCCCTTGGGATCCTTAGGAGTGCTTCTGCAGGAATACAGGTGGAAGACATCTGCCCTCCTTTTGAGCTGTAAATGCAGGATTTTTGGTAACTTTGACATCTTGTTCTCGAGGAAAACTTTCCTAAAGATAAAGGGGAGAACCTTACTGCTCTCTACAGCTGCTTTAAAGGACATTGTAGAGAGGCAGGTGCTGGTCTGTTCTCACAAGTAAATAGTGATAGAACAAGAGAGAATGGCCTAAAGCTCCACCAAGGGTCGTGTAGCCTGGACATTAGGAAAATTTTGTCTCTGATAAGCTTGTCAGGTATTGGAACAGGCTGCCCAGAGAGGAGGTTGAATCACCACCCCTGGGTGTGTTTAAAAGTTATATTGATGTGGTGGTACTTCTAGGGGTGAACATGGTAGAGTAGGGTTAAAGGTTGGACTTGATTATCTTAGAGGTCTTTTCCAACCTCGATGTTCTGTGAAATAAGTTTGGTTAAAAAGAATGTGTTGTTTTTGTTAACATGCTTCAGTGCAGACTTCTGAGGGAAGAGATGAAGGCAGGATGGTGGGTATTGAAAAGAGTGAGAGGTGGAGGCACTTTGTAAGTTGCTTCATGAATTCAGAAGTACCTTTTTAGAGGGCAAAATGGTATTTCAGGGTTCAAACGAGTACAATCAAAACAAGGAGAATGGGAACTGCTGTTTGACTAAGCAGAACTGCCTTTCCCTGGTACTTTAAACTTTGGGTTGCAGAGGTAACACCCATGGTCTGTCCACGGCTGAGACCCTGTGGCCAACCCTTACATCTTAGATTTTGAATGACCAGGAACAGAAATTGTTTTCTGCAACTAGACCTTAATGAACTAGTTCTGTTCACAACATGACTGGTGGAGATTATTGATACAAGGGAGGACAATGCATTCAATTTGCCTTCATTTATTTCTACCATCTGCGACTTCGGTATTTAATATCTCCCCCCCCAATTGTTGCTGTGCCAAAAGCTTTTGATTCCAACGATGGGAATTGATTTTTTCAACTGCCAGTAAATACAGAAATGATGGTAACCTTCTCCATTTCCCATGAATCATTGATGTCAAAGTTTCTAATTTGTACTCCAGCTTGTGTAAACATCCCGGAGGCTTTAGCATTTCAGCCCAGTTGAGCTCCCCACTGACACTGCATTATTTACTGATACTGCCCCATAGCCATTAAATCTGTCTGCAGCTCTCAGTGCTCCCTGGATTTAATGCACTCCTTCCTGCCATGGGAGGGTTGCGCTTTATTCACAGGCTTTCACTGTTTGGTGAAGGATGGGATTTCAATCCTTTTAATTCCAGAGTGCAGAGCCTTGCGATAAATACTGGGCTGAAATAAAAAATAAAAATCAATGGAAGAAGGGAAACAAGGATGAGAAATGTGACGTTGCCCTGGAATTTGTGGTGGCTTTTCTGGAAACACACAGCTGCCTAAATAAAGAAGTGTCCTCATGGCAGGATTAACTGATCAGGTTCACTGATAAATTTGTTGCTATAATTCTCACGTGGATTTGTCCTGGCATGGAGGCTTGGCCAAGGCTGCACCATGGAGTGCCTGTTGTGTGGGTTGGGGGGAGAGGCATGAGCTGCACTGGGTGGCTGCTGCAGAGCTGCTTCCTGTGCCAGCCTGCACGAGGTGAGCATGGGCAGGGATGTCCCTGGCTGGCCATTGGAGGGATGGCCTTCTCCTGCCTCCCCACCCAGCTCCAGGGATGGAGTTTGGCCCAGGGATGCTCTGCTGTGGAGCTTGGTTTAGTTTCCTTCCTCATAGTTCAGCCTTGGAAACATTACTTCTGATTCATGGGCTTTGGGAGAGCTCAGCTTTGTTTTTAGAGGCAAGAACTTGTGTGGCATTTTCAGAAGTACTTAGTACTGGGTGACTGGGCTCCTACTGAAGATGTGGGTAGTTCTGTCATTGATGTGACAGGACAATATATAATGCTTCAGAAAACCAAATTTTTCCTCTCTAGAACCTCTTTTAAAATTCCGTTTTGTTTTATACAGTTTTTTAAATTTCTGTGCTTCTTTGGAGCTTCTATGATGGGATATAGATCCAATTCTTGGTGTAAATGGGAGTCCTTTAAACTGGGAACTGACAAATCTGGGAGCACCCTCTCGTGGTGTCCTGAAGTATTACAGTGTCTTCCGTCCTGTTACTCCCTATGCATTTAAGTATAATTTCCAGATTTTAACATACTAAATTACAGGAGAGCTTTTGAAGGTTCAACAAAGATACTCAAGGCCACAAAATTCAAGTCTAGACCAGAGAATTTAAAATATCATTCATAAACAATACATATTTCAAGGAGTGGAATAAGTGTCAAATTCACATAAAAACTTAACATAAATCCACAACAAAATGGCTTGGAACCCAGCTAAGAGTACAATATTACCTTTCTACATCTTCATAAAAATAATTAGAAACTAGAAGAGCAGCTGCAGTTCTTCTAGAGTGGTTTTGAGCTTGGAGAAGTGAGTTATGCCAAGGATTTTTTTCCATAGATGAGTAACAGTTTTGTGTGCAGTGTCGTGGACTGTTAAGCAGCCTTTTACCTTTACATACCTATCAGAGAATCAGATTGGTTTGGGTTGGAAGGGACCTTAAAGACCATGTAGATTCAACCCCCTGCATGGGCAGGGACACCTCCCACCAGCCCAGGTTGCTCCAAGCCCCATCCAACCTGCCCTTCAACACTGCCAGGGATGGGGCAGCCACAGCTTCCTTCCCTGGGCAACCTGGGCCAGGATCTCACCACCCTCACACCAAAGAATTTCCTCCTCATGTCCAACCTCAATCTCCCCTATTCCAGTTTTAATCCATCCCCCTTGTCCTCTCCCTCCCTGCCCTTGTCCCAAGTCCCTCCCCAGCTTTCCTGGAGCCCCTTCAGGCACTGGAAGGTGCTCTAAGGTCTCCCTGGAGCCTTCCCTTCTCCAGGCTGAACACCCCAGCTCTCCCATAATTCTCTCACTGAAGAAGTCTCCCTGTTCTGCTCTCCAGAGCCCTTCCAGTTGGCTCCCTCAGCACGTTGCAGGTTTGGGCTGTGAAGCAGGAGCCATCCCTGCCTCCTTTCCAGCCTCGTGCGGAGCCAACTGGGTTGCAGATGCCGACAGGCGAGCGGAGGAGCTGCCAGCTGGGCCTGCTGCTCCCCACCAGCCCACGCCCTCCTTACACTTCCCTAAGGAGAGGGAACAGAGGCTGTTTACAGACTGGGAACTGCTGGCAGGGTGGCTGGCACTGGCAGAACTGGTTTGCATTGTGGTGCAGTGCAAGACAGGGTGGGTTGGCATGGCCTGTGGGTAACCCATCTCTCCCCAGAGTTTACATCCCCACTTCCCTAACATCCCCACTTCCCTAACACCCCCAATGTTACTTGCAGTGATTTTTTTATTTCATAGAATCATAGAACAGTTTGGGTTGGAAGGGACCTTCAAGACCATCTATTCCCAACCCCCTGCATGGGCAGGGACACCTCCCACCAGGCCAGGTTGCTCTAAGCCCCATCCAACCTGGTCTTGAAACTTAAAGCTTCCTGGTCTTTTAACCTGGTCTCTTAACTTCAAGCTTCCTCTCTCCCCACCTGTTTTAAGGCCAAATATTTCTGAAGGGAGATAAGCCTTTCCTCATCTTACCTTCCAAGTGAGTGATATTTGGGGTTTGGTTTGTTTCCTCCAAGCCCACCATCCCACCTTCCCTCCTTCCTGGTGCTCTCAGCCCTTGTCAGAGCCAACAACCAGCCACCTTCCAGCAAAGGTGGGTTTTTTCCTGAGATTATCACCAGGTTCTAAGGCATGAAACGTGTTCTGATTGCTCACACAGCCTAAATGTACAGCTTGTACTTACATTATTACAGGAAAAGCAGACATAAAGTGATGCACTGAAATTAATGCTTTGCTCTGTGGTTTCCTTTGTTCCAGAATGGCATTCTTTCTGGAGGAGGTGATGACTTGCACCAGGCGTTTCCTGGAGGTGACATCTGGCTGGCTGCCTCGACATTTTTTGGGTGCACTCCTGATGTCTCTCCCAGCTTTTGCAGTTTTTTCACACTTCACCTCTGATTTTGAAACAAATATACATGTAAGTTGTCGAACTCCCTTCCATAATTTGCAGTTTTGGAGCTAACAAAGCTTGTTGCTTGCCTGCTGTCTCTCTTCACCTCTCTCCTGCTTTACATCTGGTTGATGCAGATCTCTTAGAGGGATGAGACTTTTGTGTATGATGAAATGCCTAGTTTGTTATGTAAACACAGACACTGGCTTTTGAAATCTCATACAAAAGAGGAGAGGGATACCTATAAATGCCTGCCTACCTGCTTCTTTTTATTTTAAAGACCAAACACTTCTGCAGGTGTTTATTCTAGATAAATACAGTAGTGGATCTTAGGCTTTTCATTTCATCCTGGTTTTGATGTACAATTTGTCACTGGAGGTGTTGTGTGTATTGCACAACTTTGCATGCCCAGCAGTGAATCTCAACAGTGAGAACAGTCCCAGCAGTGGATGTCTTTTCTTTGCAGAGTTTATCTTTTCTTTGCAGAGGAAATAAAAGTTTCTCCTTTGGCTGCAGAAGCTCAAAGGAGAGAGCTCTTGAGTACACAGAAATGGTCACCCTGCAGGGGCTGCAGGAATGGTTAAAAAAATTCAGTAGCTCTTAGAAAGAAATTGGCATCTTTAGCCCAGCCACAGAAAGGGTCCAGAGGGGATTTGGTGTCTCCTTCAATAAAAACATTCAGAAAGTTGGGAACAAGGGGTTAAATATTGAGGAGAGGAAAGAACACCTTAGTTTAAAGGCCAACTGTAGCATAAAATCAGTGCTTATCAACTGTTTGTGAGTAAAATGGACTGGAACTGGAGATGACAGTTTGTTTCCCTGCAGGTTTCTCTTCAGTAGATCAGTGCATGGTCCTTCCTTTCCAGGATCACCAGGGAATTCTGTTTTACAAACCTCTTGCTATTTCAGGGCCCTTAGGTGTAGGTAACAACCAGATCCCGATCCTTTCTCCTATCCCAGTTTATTACTGGGTGTTGGGAAGTGTTTGTTCCATGGGGACATGTGTGTTTTGTTCTTTCCCAATTTAAACATATATTCCGTGGTTATCCCAGTCACCCAATGCTATATTTGATCCTCGCTCACATCCCATGTTTAAAATTACGCTGCAGCATTTTCCTTTAGTAAACTTCACTCTTTGTAAGCTGAAGGACTTTTTTTCAGTTTAGTGATCTTCCTCTCTCATGAAAACTAGTAAAGTAATTGTAGGAATGATTTCCTCACACTGAAGGGAGCTGAAAACCTTCAAATCACTCCAATCTATCCCCTGATTTTGGTATCATTCATCACCATCCCTGATCATCTCTCCAAATACTTAAAAATAATGGTGGAATATTTTATGAGTATTTCCTGGTCAGGTTGTTGGTCTGAGGGCTTCAGGCAGCAGCAGGAAGATGATATTCCTCACCAAACTGAGAATGAACTTGGCTTTCTTTCCTCTTGCAGGTCCTCCAGAGTCGTGGGGCTGTTGGCTCACTCTCCAAGAGATGTCCCAACTCGTCTTGTGCTCAATCTTTCAACAATCATGGAGCTCTAGGGAATGGAGTCCATCTATAGAGGGTCAGGTAAGTGTCATATTTTTACTATGACATGGTTTTGCAAAGTTTTTTTTACTCATAGCATTTTATACCTTCCCTGGATATAAAAGAATTAAAAGAAAAATTAACAAAACCAGCAATAAATAATAATAATAATTAAAAAAAAAAACTTTCCAAAGCCATGCATACATAGTAAAACCCAGCACTTCCTGACCCTCTATAGGCTGGCTTCATGCTGGGGCATCACTTGGAGTGAGAACCAGTGCTCTGCCACTTTAGGAGACCTGAAATGGGGGGAAAAAAAGTAAGTTTAAGTTATTTATTTTTACGGACACTTCTGAAATTCCTTGTATCTGTTTTTGAGTCATTTAAAAAAAAAAAAACAAAAGCCAACTGTGCTTGTGGTTGAAAAATGGTGAATGATGTAAGGTGTTTTTTTTCCCCAAACACTGTCTACTTCTGAATCACATGCTTGTTTGTTGTGCCACAGGATTGCTGATCTGCAGCCTTTGCACTTGAGCTGGAAAGGGCATTTAAAAACTAGAAAGGGAGAGGATGATCATTTGATACTGTAAAACACAGTATATAGCTAGAACAGAACTCCACAATGCAGTTGTGGAATCTCTGGTTTAGCTTGGATGGTCATGAATATTCTTAATAAACCCAACATTTGGACATCAGCTCCAGAGTTTTGACTCCTGTGAGATTATGTCTCAGGGAAACAAAGGTATTCTGGGCAATGTATCTATCCTGCCCTTTAATTTTAATCTAGTAAAGATGCAGAAAATGGAAAGGGTTTTTAAGAATAGGGCAGAAAATCTAAAATTTTTCTTTCAAATTGGCACAAATGGTGGTGTTAAATACAGTCTTACAAACAAATTCTTAAGAGTTCACCTGCTGCTGACCAGTGTGATCCTGTCCTCTAAGAAGTGGTTTTAAAGGTTGGGTGATGTTTCTGAGGGTGAATGCAGGCCACATCTTCAGTGTTGACATTCAATTTAAACCAGCCTAACCCCAGCAGTTGACAGGAGGTTACCATGAATGTTCACCTTTTTTTTTCCCCTCTTTCCACTAACAAGAGGCACTGAGCATTTTGCCAAGGTAAGCTGAAGGTATTGGAAGCTGCTGGAAGGACAGTAATATAACACAGGCATAAACTCCATCCAGGGAAAAATGTGACAAACTACCTGTGCTAAAAGCTTCCTTGCTCTTTGAAGGGGAGAACCTTCCATCTTCAAGTGCTGATAGAGACACTGTGAGGGATTATTGGGCACAAAAAGCAGATTAAATGAGCTCCTCTTTCACATCCCACTCTCTTGGTGCTGGCATTGGTGTGCAGAGGGCTGTGGTGAGCAGGAGAAACCTAACTGCCCTCTCTCTCTCTTGCAGTACACCATGTTCTTGTGCTCTGCCATGCTGATCTCCATTGTGCACTACTGTAACTACTGCCAGCTTAGCTCCTGGATGAGATCTCTGTTGGCAACTGTGGTAGGAGCAGTGCTGCTCTACCTTCTGTTCTACGTCTCCTTCTGTCCAGCCAGGTGAGCATCAAGCCTTGACCATGGGTTAGATTAACAAATTTAGTTTTCTCCACCAGAGAAGTGTGAGGGTCTAATTGTGTGGGATTTTAGTACCTGCCAAGGCTTTCTCCAGCATCTCAAATGTAAGAATTTGGGAAGAATTCTGCGTTATTTTTAAAGATTTCAGGACCATATCTGAAGGGCCTTTTCTGTCTTGAAATGAAACTGTCCTCAACTGTTCCAGTAATTAAAGGATGGCTTCCAAGAACATGGAGAGTGTCTTTATACAAGGAGTGGCATGAAAAAGATGAGGGGTCATAGGTGCAAGTTACTCCTGGGGACATCCCAATTGGACACCAGAGGAACATTTTGCACTATGTGAACAGTCAGACATTAGAATAATCTTCCCCAGGAAGTGGTGGATTCCCCAGCCCTGGACTGTTAAGACTCAGCCTGTCAAGGTGATGGATCATCACATCTAAACCATGTGCCTACCTAGAAAAGCTGGACCAAATGTTCCTTGAGGCCCCTCCAACCTGGCATTGTATGATGTATTTCTAGGGCACACTCACACTTATTAGGCCCACAGAATTGCCCTTCACTGTTTGTTTAAAAATCTGTTTTATTAAGGAATTTCTGAGACATTTGGTGGTGCCAGAGAATCCACTTGTTCCCCCACAACCCTCTGGATTTATTCTTGCCCTTATGAACCATGTATCTTTCTTCTGTCTCCTTCCACAAGGAGTTTCCCACCATGGAATGCAAGTCCTTAGATTTAATAGGATTCTAATACCCTGTTTCCTTTCCTACTTGCCTGCTTTTTCAGAGGATGCTGCAGGACAGTAACCAGAGGAATCCAGTTAATGCCATTTCTCTGGGATAACCTTAAGGCTTTTCAGTTTCTCCTCCCATAAGTAATTTTCCCCAAAGGATACAACATGGTACAGCATTCTTCTATTTCCTTCCCAGGAGAGTCAAGGGAGTCCTTCCAGCCATCCCCTCCTCTTGTCAGCATTTTAGAAGCAACTTGCATTTCTCAGTGCCTTGAGAAATCTCTCAGCCTTTGGCACCCTTACCACAGTGGGGACTTTGCAAGGACTTCTTGTGCTATTTCAAGTTCCTATTCAAAGCCTTTCCTTTTACCCTGCTGAATCATATGGTGAAAACCATGAAAAAACCCCAAACAAACCAAAAAAGAGTTTGCAGATATATGTTTTGTGTGATTATTTGACTTTTAATCCCCTCTTCAGGTACCTTCAATGGTCTGTTTTAAGGACATGGGGAATAAAAGTCACCCATTAGCAGCTGTTCACATCCCTGGACAGGTTGGATGGGGCTTGGAGCAACCTGGTCTAGTGGGAGGTGTCCCTGCCCATGCAGGGGGTTAGAACTAGATGATCTTTAAGGTCTCTTCCAACCCAAACCATTCCATGAATGCAGTAGAGAAATTATAATGCAAGAAAACACAAAAAGGGCATCAACTACTTACTGTTTTTCTGTAATAGCCATCTCAAAATTAGGCTCTTTGTTTGGGGTTTTTTTGGGGAGGAGAGTTTGGGGGCTGCTCTTTGGAAAATCTTGTCTTGTGTGGGGAGATAAGATGAAAGCACAACTGGGGTGTTGTGTTCTAAAACTGCTTTTCCATGTGTCTGAGGTAAGATTGGATTGTTCAACACTTACTTGTTCCAGGCATCATCCTGACTGCATTTCCATCAGTCACCCTTCAGAGGTGTTTGCAGCTTTGTCTGTGGTTGCTTCTTCCAAGAAAAAAGTGCAGATAAGTCATATTCCAAAAAAGTTTGTCTGAAGCTGCTCAAGCACATGATACATTTATTGGTCCTACAATCTGCAGAATAGAAAAGTTTTTCATGCTAACTGAAATTCTGACAGGATTTTATTTGTTGTTAACTTTCCTTCTGATATCAGTGCTCTTTTTTTTATTTCAGCTCTGTGGGAACTTTTGATCCAGAGTTGGCACAGAACTTCAGGTGAGCTTTCTCTAAAATGACTATGTTTAGGGAAGTTTTTTCAGTCCATTTGATGTAGCAAAGCTTTGCATGCAGGGCACTACACTTGGGAATCCAAAAGGTTTGTTCAGCAAGTTGTGTTTAAGCTCCTTGTGTGTTTAATTTCCTTTACAGAGGATTTGGGTATGGCCAAAAATCATCAGAAAGCTGATCCTGCAGGCAAAGTTGTGTAATGCTGCTCTCTTCTTTTAAATGTGCTTTCCAGGGAATAAAATATGGAGGCTCTATATAAAGTAGCATTTGTTTTTCTAGGAGTAGCAGTTCTTAAAGCTTTATCTCTACATCATGAGCTATTAATTTCATTCCCTTGGCTGACATGCACCATTCAAAAGTGTGTTGGATGCTATCCACAGCTGGGCAGGTGAGAATTCCCTGTGGAATTCTTCCCTTTGGCAGGACAGAGACAGGTTGGTGGTGCCAGTCAAGGTGCCACCCTGAGCTTGCTCCAGCAGAGCAGCAAGTCATGTCAGTGAGAACAAATGACTTGAAAAAAAGAGGTTTAAGCAAACAAAAATCTTTTCCTGGGTTGTTAAAGGCCCCTTATATATCAACCCATTAAAGCTTCACTCTAATTATTTCAGTGCTGAATTTTCATGGGTTTATTGCAAGCTTTGCCATGTCATTTTGAAAGTGCTCTTTCTGTTTGTTTGGGTTAGAAAAAATGTGTGTTTGCTAATTGCAAATTAGGAGAAAATACTGGAGTGATGTTGTACTTGATTGAACTAACGACCCTGCAAATCTGTGACTCAGTAATTCATCTGAAGTGTGTGCTCAGGAGGAGGAGGATGCTTTTACTGGGAATATGTAGCAAAACAAAATTACTTTTAAAAAATATCACCTACAGGGATGCTGGGGCACAGGGAGAAGTTCACTGTGCTTTCATGTTACATATTTATTCACCCAGAAGCAGTTACTGCAGTGATTTATTTCTTTTTACATGAGTCTTCCTGCTTAAGTGGCTTGAATCAGGAAAGATAACCTCATTTTTATCACTTAATTTCATTTCACAAAAGCCAGAATGGAAAGTTAAAGCTGAAAGAACAGAAGTGGATTGATTGTTTTTTGGTTTTGTGAGGTAAAACACTGAAGGGAACTTGATCAAAATGCCACGTGCAAATTAGGAGAGCAAAGTGATGATTGAAAGCAATGCCTCAATTTGGGGCTTCAGTGCTTAATTATTAGTTTGTGAAATCACTGAATCTTTTGTGCTGCTCAGAATTACAAATGTCTTGCCCAATGTTGACAACAGCTTCCCAGGCTCCTGACCAGCTGCTAATCACTAATAAATAATTCATTTGGACTTCAATAATTGACAACACCAACTTCTGTTCAGTGACTGTTTCTCCATCATCAGTTACTAGAAATATGCCCAAAAATCAACTCTCAAGTATTGTTTGCATGCAAATATTTTTCTTCCAGAATCTAACTCAGGACTATTGGAGGTAAGAGTGAGTAGGGCACCAAAGCACACAGAGAATGTTACTGCAAACAGGCCTGGAGACTTCTCTGCCTGCCTTGGAAATCCTCTCTTGGGATTTAGACATTAGGAGGAAATTCTTTGGTGTGAGGGGGGTGAGAGCCTGGCCCAGGTTGCCCAGGGAAGCTGTGGCTGCCCCATCCCTGGCAGTGTTGAAGGGCAGGTTGGATGGGGCTTGGAGCAGCCTGGGCTGGTGGGAGGTGTCCCTGCCCATGCAGGGGGTTGGGTCTAGATGATCTTGAAGGTCCCTTCCATTCTGTTTTGAATATCAAATAAGACAGTGACCAAAATATCTAACTCACTGAACATTTTTTAATTGAATTTTAAAACTTTGTGTCATGAGAAGTGCTAGATAAGTATTTTGTCTGTCACATCTTCAGTTGGGGGGGGGGAAATATTGACAAATACTCCCCCCAAAATGGGGAACAAACAGTGTTGTGGTTGAGTTTCTCTTTCTACAGCTGCCCTTTTTACTTGCTGGCTGTGGTTTTGGCAGGTTGATCAGTCACTGTCTGTGTTTTCATGCAGGAATTGTCAGTCCAGCATGATCTTTGTTCACAGTCCCACCTCCACTGATCTGAGGCTGCCCAAACTCATCAACTGACACAATCTTTCTGTGTGCTGGGACTTAAAAGCCAGTTAATCCTATTTCTGCCATTAATTTGCAACAGGATTTGGCTGCTCTTTTCAGGGCTCTTTTAATGTTCATTATTGTATCACCACATTTCTAGAGTTTTGTACAAACAGAATTTCCCCTTTTTCCTGGTGATGGACTAATAAAAAGTTGAAATTCCCTCATTCCATCAAACTTTTTGCTGTCCCTTTCTTACTGATATAAATAAGGTTCCTTGCTGACCCCAAGCAGCACAGAAAGCTTTTCCTCTGTTCTAACAGGGCCCAAGTGACTTGTTTTGCCTGCCTTTAATGAGGTTATTCCCTTTTCTTCATCAAGAATGAGATAATTATTAATGTTGTATGGGAAGAGAGATAGAAGTAATGGGAATGAAGTCTTAGCACAGAGTTAATCTCTGGACTGTGCCCAGTAAATCAAAATATGGAATTTGCCTTGTTTTCCACACAGACCAGTTCTTCATCCCAAAAGAGATACAACCAGAAACTTTGTCTTTTAAGCAGGAAATAGGTCTCATTTCCATTCCTTCCTTAGCTCAGAGCAGGCAGGGTTTGTTCTTTTCCAGTTTGGGACTGCTGGGGTTGGGCAGTGATAGGCCACTTGAGGTGGAAAACTAAAATCTCTTGGTGGTTGGGAGGTTTATGTTCATCCACTGGATGTTCCTCATTAAAAGCAGTAGTTTGACTTCCCTTTTCCACACTGATCCCCCATTCCATTCTTTTTTAAGGTTTAGCAGGCAAGCATCCTATGTAAATACAGCAGGATATCCAAATTCAAACCTAGGTTGCTGGCTCAGAAGCAAAGTGGCTTTCCAAAAATCTTTCTAAGTGGAAAGCCATTATCTTTATGATTTGTGACCAAGCCAAAGGAGATCCTATCTCTGGAGCTCTTGCATGTTCCATATTCAAGGCACAGCTTGGATGAAGATGCCAAGTTAGGCATCTGTGCCAGGAAGCAGTTCACCAGCTGGAGTTAAAGGAACAGTGTCTGCTGAAGATTTCAATGTGAATGACTTTTAAGATGAATTTTTCTACTGCAGTACCTCATAAAAAGACCTGAAAAAGATATGGGTGGGTGATCCTTTCTGCTACAGGTGTATGGGGTGGGGTGTTTTTTTTTTAATTCTTTTCATTCTAAAGGGTGGCCTCAGGTCATGTTTGCTAACTGACTGTGTGAGATGATTTATAGTCCTGTAACCTGGTGGCTGTGCCATCCAGAAATGGGATTTTCAAAGGAGTGAGTTGGAATTGCTGCCTCCTTCAGGCTGGCATCCTGGCTTTGGGTATTAATCCTGCTCTGGAAAAGATCTTGCACCTTCTTTGAGATACTAACACATGACCTCAGTGGTGAAATCAGGTCAGCTCACAAGTGAGTCACTCAGTTCACACGAAGGTCTCTGAGGTTGAACACCCCAGGTGGGAAACAAGGTCAGGCTGGTGCTCCAGGAGATGATTGAGAGCTGGCAGATGCTTCAGGAGGGGTGCATGGCAGGCAGCAGCTTCTTCTAAAAAGTTAGATCTTGTGTTCAGCACAAGTCACTTCTTGTAACGTAAAGTTTGTGGTGCTTGTCTCATTCATTTAAGAGGAGTTAGAAGAGCTTTGAGGAGTATTTTGTACATTAAACTGAGTAAAAGGCCTTTAATGACTTAAATCCCTGTGGCAGGGATGTTTGATCCAGATAATCTGCTCTAATATCAAACTTGTACTCAAAGAAGTAACATATTATAGAATCCCAGACTGGTTTGGGTTGGAAGGGACCTTCAAGACCATCTAGTTCCAACCCCCTGCATGGGCAGGGACACCTCCCACCAGCCCAGGTTGCTCCAAGCCCCATCCAACCTGCCCTTCAACACTGCCAGGGATGGGGCAGCCACAGCTTCCCTGGGCAACCTGGGCCAGGCTCTCACCACCCTCACAGTGAAAAATTGCCTCCTAATGTCTACAGGTCATTGCTCAGATCCTCTGGAGATTCCTTCCCACAAGACATGGAAAATATAGAACCATTCTGAAAGGAACCTGCCTTGTGCTCCTTACCTTCCCCACCCTCAGTTATTCACTAACATGTTTTCTTTTGCTTATCTACCCCTCATTTTGTTTTATGGGTCCAGCAAAGCAGGAGGATGTTTTGCCACCTGCAGAACAGGTGTCAAGGATCATAGTTCAGGAATTGTCACCATGCTGGTCATTAACAATTTAGCCTTTGTCTTTGTCCCTGACTTGTCTTTCTAGGGAGAAAGTGAACAGATTCCTAACAGAAGAGAAGTAGTTGTGAGGGAGCAAGAAAGGAGTCTTAGCAACACACCAGCAGCTCAGGGACCTGATGGCAGGGACCTGTTCTTTTGGGTTGTTTCACATCCCTGCTGTGTTTTTGCTTCATCACACTTTTCTGTCCATCAGATACTTGAGGATGAACATTCAGAAAAAGAAACTGGGTCTGTAATCCAACTCAGTTGCTAAAACAACTGCTTCCATTTCAGAAGTGGAAGAATGTCCCCCATGGCCATAAAGAAATAAGTTGAACTTAGAGATGTTTTCACCTGTTGCAGAAGCAAATTTAGTCTTCTCTTCCTGAGCTGTTGCTCAGTTGTGCTTTGAGTTCTCATCTCCTTTGCTAACACACCTTCCTCAGAGAAACATGGACCCTGGAACACAGATTCCCTGCCTGGTTTGCAAGGTGGAAGGTTCACGTGATGCTTTCCCTTCTCAAACCATCAATTAACTTGAAGAACTCCAGCATGTGTCTGTTCACAGCAAATCTTGAGCTTTGGCATAATTTTAGAGAAAAAACTGCAGTCAAGTGACACCAGAAACAACTGCCTGCCAACCTGTCTGGATCTAGACTTAGTCTCTAAGCTTGCATAGCTGGTGTCTTCTCATCTGGAACTGGTGTCTTAGCATCCCTCCAGAAAGCTGAGATTGTAGACCACAGATGTCTCCTTGTTAGGGTGATTTGGCACTGGGAGCATCCATCCTCCATCATCCTTCATCAAGCACTTGACAAACTGTGGAAAGGATCTGAAATACTATTCTCAATCTATGTGAGACATGAATTTTATATCTTTTTTTCATCTTGGCACTTTGAGAAACTTTCTGTCTCCACCATAAAAAGCTTCAGTGGTTGTAATGTACAGAAGGTGTCAACCCAGAGCTCCCTGTTCTCCACTTCCATGCAGTTCTCCATGAAGTGCCTTGTGTAGGGTTGTCTTCTTCCAAAGCTTGCACGTGTCACACTGCCAGGGTTCCTGCTCCTTGAGGAGGAGACAGGGGAAAGGCTCTGGGAGGACAGAGCAGGTGTTTCTGAATATTGGAGGTAATACAAAACAAAAAGAACTCCCCCAAACTTCCCCACTCACACCCTCCATGCAGACAGGTCTGTGTGCACCTGTTGCACATCTAAGCACACAGACATTATTAAGCATTTTTATGTGCATATTTCCATTTAGTGCTTTTAGTTACATATTTACATGTAATGACAACTGTTTCCTTGAAGTCTTTCCTTGAAGAAGTTAAAATAGGACTCCTGTAAAGGCTGGGCAGCTTCTGTGTCGCTGAACCTCATGATACAGAATTCCAAACTGGTTTGGGTTGATGGGACCTTCAAAATCATCTAGATCAACCCCCCTGCATGGGCAGGGACACCTCCCACCAGCCCAGGTTGCTCCAAGCCCCATCCAACCTGCCCTTCAACACTGCCAGGGATGGGGCAGCCACAGCTTCCCTGGGCAACCTGGGCCAGGCTCTCACCACCCTCACAGTGAAAAATTTCCTCCTCATGTCCAACCTCAATCTCCCTCTGCCAGTTTTAATCCATCCCCCCTTGTCCTCTCCCTCCCTGCCCTTGTCCCAAGTCCCTCCCCAGCTTTCCTGGAGCCCCTTCAGGCCCTGGAAGGTGCTCTAAGGTCTCCCTGGAGCCTTCTCTTCTTCGGGCTGAGGAACCCCTCAGTGAGCTTAAGAATTACATGAATCCTTTAGTGTGCTTAACAGCAGGTAGGATTATTCAGTGTGTAACATGTTCTTCTTTTTCTAGCAGCGGGTTTCTAATGCCAGAGCAGGAGCAGCAGAGCTCTCTAACTGTTTGGTTTTAAGTGTGTTTTTCCTGTTCTTCCCTTTCTTCTGCCTCCAGCTCCAGAAAGAGTCCATGCAACAGCTCAGTGCCAAGTGACACAAAGAGGCCAGCAGACCTGATCGGTGAAGAGCTGATGTTGGTTTCTTTCCTTCTGCTCCTCCTGGTCTGGTTTGTGAATCGAGAGTTTGAGGTCAGTTACCGTCTCCAGTACCACGGGAACCTGGAGGCTCATCTTCATCGTGCCAAAATTCAGAGCATGAGGGATCAAGCTGACTGGTTGCTGAGGAATATTATCCCATACCACGTGGCTGAGCAGCTGAAGGTTTCCCAGAGCTATTCCAAAAACCACGACAGCAGTGGAGTCATCTTTGCAAGTATTGTCAACTTCAGTGACTTCTATGAGGAGAACTACGAGGGAGGCAAGGAGTGTTACCGAGTCCTGAACGAATTAATTGGGGATTTTGATGAGCTGCTGAGCAAACCTCATTACAGCAGCATTGAGAAGATCAAAACCATTGGGGCGACCTACATGGCAGCTTCAGGCCTGAACACCTCACAGTGCCAGGATGACAACCATCCCCACGGCCACCTGCAGACCCTTTTTGAATTTGCCAAAGAAATGATGCAAGTGATGGATGACTTCAACAAGAACATGCTGTGGTTTAACTTTAAACTTAGGATTGGCTTTAACCACGGCCCCCTCACTGCCGGGGTCATTGGCACCACCAAGTTGTTGTATGACATCTGGGGGGACACTGTGAACATTGCTAGCAGGATGGACACCACTGGCGTGGAGTGTCGGATACAGGTGAGTCAGGAGAGCTACCGTGTCCTCAGCAGGATGGGGTACCACTTTGACTACAGGGGGACAGTCAACGTGAAGGGGAAAGGTCAGATGAAGACCTACCTTTACCCAAAATGCACGAACACTGGGGTCGTGCCCCATCACAAGTTGTCTATATCCCCAGACATTCGGGTGCAAGTGGATGGCAGCATTGGGCGGTCTCCGACGGATGAGATTGCCAACCTGGTGCCTTCTGTACAGAATTCTGATCAGGCAGCCCATGGCACAGAACCCAAGGGCTCCCATTCCACCAAGTTCAAGAAAGGCCCAGTCAAAGCACAGAAGAGGAGCAAAGCCTCGGAGAAGACTGACAGTGAGGAGGCAGGAACTGAGGAGGTCAATGAACTGACAAAACTCAATGTCTCTAAGAGCTTATGATGCACTGTCAGAGTTGCATGAAGTGCTCTGTCCACAGAAACACACAGACATTTGCAATGGGCAGTTGTTGTTTGTTTGTTTTTTTTCAAGAGAGACCTTCTGGACACCTGGGCTGTACGTTTGTTTTCATTTCAGCACCTAGTGCTGTGTGGATCACAGCTCTTCAGGGCTTGTTTTCATCCATCTTTCTCCTCCATGCCCCAAATCACATCCCAAGCTCCCCAGCTCCCTGTGCAACCATCTTACAGCTGAGTAGAGGATATTAAGTGCCTTCAGATATACTCCATTGGACTCCCTGTCAAGGTACAGAGGCCCCAAGTGAAATCATAGCTTTGGGTATTTATCTAATTTTAAAGAAAAGAAAAGCTGTGGTTATATCATTTTTATTGTTGTTTCTCACAAAACACTTTTTTTGGCTAATGCAACTCCTTGGGTTTTTTTATATCTCTGAACAATGTTTTACTGTTATAAGACCTTTTGTATGTAAACACAGAGACAAACATGCATGTATCTACCATATGAGACTGACATCAAGTGCCAGTAACATACCACGAAAGAATGTCTTGGGGGTGACACAAGTTGACTTTGTGTTGGGCTGGAGGAGGAGACCTGCAGTGGCTCAAGGTTTAGTTAGAGTAGACTGAACAACTGCTGTAGTTTTTATTCTCCTTTTACCAAGGCTTTCTTCAACCTTAACGTGCCATTGTGTGCTTTGGATACACTTCTTTTCCATATAGCAAATGAGTTCTTGATATGTGGGAATGGAAGGGTTTGGAGACCACCAAGCTCTCAGGACAGGTTTCCAGAAGCAGATGAGTGACCACCAGAGTGTTACAAGTTCAGGTCTCACCAGTCTGAAGCAGTTTGATGTTACTCTGGATGCTAGCTGAATTCCTTGAAGGTAGGGGAAGTTGGGGTTCTCTAAGCTGGTCTGATCTGAGAGACAGAGAAAAGTTAAATAAATGTTTTGGGAATACCTTTATTTATTTATTTATTTTATGCCTGTTTTTTTTTGTTTGCTTGTTTTTTTCTTTTGGAGGTTTTTGTGTGTCTGTGTGGATGGGAACAGGAGAGATGAATTGTTAATTGGTTTAATAAGAGTAATGAGATGGTGTTTCAGCCTTGTTGAACTACCAACCACTGTGAGGATGTTACCTTGGCAATATTTGTTTCCAAGCTGGTGAGACTTCTGAAGCCACCAAATGCCATTGAGGATCCCAGCTTCCCTCTGTACTGAATCAATGGTGCTGCACAAGATTCTTCAGGATAGTTCCTCCCCCCACACTGTGCTTTTGCAGCAGGGAACAGAACATCACACCCCCCTGTGTGCCACTGGAAGCAGGTATAGGGAAGAGAGTCCTTTCTAGTCAGCTGAGAAGCACAATAATTGCCCAGTCCTGCAGATGACTCTGTGCAGGTCCCAGGGACCTGAGACCTGCAGGAGCACAGGAACCTGCTTGCACAGAGGGAACTGCAGGATGGGGGCCTTAGGCTGTACCAGTTTGCCCCCTGCATGCTTCCATCACCTCCTTCAGTTCCATTGGATGCCCCACTTTGACTACTATTAGTCATTCAACCATTCCAGTTCAGCTGACTCCTTGAGACACCAAATAAAACAAAAGCATTTTTATGCCCCCAAGTAAGTTCATTAACCAGGGGGGAGCTGGTGAAATGCCATGTTGTGCTGCCTGCCTTTTGGTGGGAGGTTCTTTCTTTCTCTCCATCTGAACTAAAGTCAGAATATATTGATATTTCTTTTTATTCTCTGTGGCATCTTTGAGTAATAAACATCTACCATGTCCAGTTCCTATTTGAGACCCATCTACCCTCCACGATCAGCACAGAGCCCTTGAAGCTCTTACAAACACAAATCTGTGAGATTTCTGGATCTCTGTCCTCTCAAAAGCTGTGGGTTTTGCATGTCTAAATTACATTTGATAATTAATCTTGCTCAATCTACCAGCACAAAAAAAAACCCAGGGATACTCATCCCCATTCCCTTCTGTCCCTGATGCTGTAGCCTGGTTGGGGGCTGTTCCTGATGAGCAACCACAGAAGGTTTTTATCAGGGCACAGTTGTACAGCAGTTTTTCCTTCCTTCTCTGTAGATGAGAACTAGCCCCTTCCTCCCCTCCCTATAGTGGGTTGCACTTCCAACTTTCAGGTAGTATAAATCTTCAAATACCTCTTGCATCTGAAGAATGTATTCTTGAAACCATTTTTAGGGTTGTGGTTTCAGTTGAGTGTGTCAGTATTTCTTTGCTTACAGACAAGGAGTTGCCCCAGTCCTGAATTGTTTACATGCCTTCTAGTGTTCCACTAGTGTCTCAGAGTCCTTCAAACCTTTCTTCCTTTCACTTCTCCCCCTCCAATCTCTTAGAGGGCTCTCCCCAGCATTTCTCTCTCACTGATCAGCTCTGGGCAGTGGCAGAGTTTGGCTTCTTCCTGACATGAGACACTGCACAGTAGCCAAAGCTCCACCAGCAGGAGCCCTGTTGCCAGGGAGAGGTTTGCACCCTGGGATCACACCTGAAGAGGCAAGGGGGCTGGAGCAGGACCCTGGACCCCCAGCTCCTTCTTTAGTGTTCCAGCCACACACTGCAGAACATAAAAGCTTCATCATCCTCCAGCCTGGAAAGTCAGTAACACTCCTGTGCTGTGGGGGAACATTGTTGGTTTTCTGGTAACATTAGAATACCAAAAAAATAAATAAATGGCAGGGCTGCTTCTTTTTTTATTTTTTGGCACTAAGGAAATGAAGTGACTGAGGGCTCTGGAATCAAGGGCTGTTGGCTGCTCGGGGAGCTGCCAGGACATTATTCTGCCTTAACCCTGCAGCTGGGCAGAGAGTAGTGAGAAGCTGAGTGAGTGGTGGTCCCTCTGCATGCTCATTGCCCCCAGGACAGCAGCTGGGGCTGCAGGGCTGTTCTCCAGGTTTTCCATCTCCTCTTCAGTAACAAAACCAAGAAGCCAAGCTCTCAGAGGGTGGTGGGATAGTGGGATCTTCCCAGACACGAGGAGGTTCCTGTGTGCTGTTGTATCCCAGTGGGAGCTGAACCTTCACACCTTCCTTTTACATCTTTGAAAAGATGTCCCAAAAATACTCACCAAAATTCCTCTGGAGGTGTTTTTAGAGGCATTGGGTGGGTCTTTGTTCCTCTGCAGCCCTGACAACGTGTGTCCCTGCAGGAGGCCATGAGCCAAGTTCATTTCTCTACAGTATCTTTTACCCTTGATCTCGTGGTCCCAGCACAATTCCAGCACGATGTAGAAGGTGAGGAGTTGACCAGGTACCTGGAAGTGTGTTCTGCAAGAATAGTGCATGTTGGGCTTCCTGGTGTTAGGGTGTTTTAATGGGTTTAATTTCAAAATAATCCATAGGAGGGAGGGGATGGAAGCTGAGTATTTCCCAGCCCCATGTAACCTTCTGCCACAGTTGACTTGTGGGAGCTGCTCTGGAGCCTGATGAGGAATGTGCTGAATATTTTCTGCAGAGTTGTCTTAATCTACTAACACATAAAAATGCTTTTTTCTCTCCCAGTTACTTCTGTGAGACAGATTTCTCATTCCAAACCAAGCAAATGGCATTCTCTTTGATTACTTCTGGCATTTATGATTTCGAGAAGAACAGATTTCCCTGTTATTTCCCAGGATTTGGGGCTGTTTCCCGTTGCTGGAGGTAACACAAGTGGTGTGAGTAGGGTGGGGATGGTGTCACTGCCTGACTGTGCTTCCTACTGTGTCCTGGGACAAAGCACAGGAGGATTTTTAGGATGATAAGATGAGGAGGGGTGAGGGTGAACTCCCCAAGGGCTTTGCAAGCAAATAAGTATTTGGATTTGGGCTAAAAAAGCCTTTGGATACTCTTACTTCAGGGCTGAAACACAGATAAGAGGCACTCAGAGCAAAAGGAGCTATAAAGCAAACACTGTACCCATTCCAGCTTTTAGTTAAAGAGCTTGTTCTTGATGAAAGTGGTTTTTAAGGTATCTAGCATTTTAAAATTGTGAACGCTGACCTATTTCTAAAACTTGCATCCTGAATACTGGAAAAAAAATCAAGTAAAATGTTGCAAGGGAGCAGTTACTAACTCCATGGCTTTATTTTGCAACATCACAAGAGGCTGAGAGTGCCTGAGGGTGGATACAATGCCACCATTTCACTGTGCAGCTTGCAGTTGGGTTGGTTTTTTTGACCATATTTAAAAATTCTGTCTGTTTGCTCCCTTCTTCCCTGCTGTGCTCTTGTTTTCATCACACCCAAAACTTGGATTACCCTGAGTTTTAGCAAGTGTGCAAAAGCAGAAGAGGGTAAGACACAAACCCCAGTGGTTGGGATTGACTGGAGCAGCTTTCCTTTCAGTCTTGTTTTAGTTAAATGTTACTAACCTGCTCAAAAAGCAGTAATTATTTCTTGATGTGACTTTTCCAGTTGCTGAAGAGGTCGCAGGAGTGGTTTGGCTCTAGATACAGATTGATTTTCATGTGGCAAGAGCACCAGTGGAGGTAGAGGTGCCAGGGTACCCTTGTGCTGTGGTCCTTCTATCTTGCTCCCCAGGCAGCTGCAAAAACCCAGTTGGAGTCTTGGAGTGATCCTGAGGCTTGGCTGCCACTGTGAGGAGCATCAGTTTGAGCAGCAAAGTCATTTATTGCAGTGTTTTTCCTTTTGAGTTCTCTGCACAGAGCTGTGTCAGTCCTTGTTTGGGTTTCTAGAGGGACAACATTTAAGGAGAAAAGCCCAAATCACTTCTTGCTGTTGCTGGGAACATCCTGCCCTGCCAGCAGCAGCAGGATTCTGCAGACTCCTGCAAAAAGGTTGGAAATTATAACCATCACACACAAATTCTTTAAGATGCTGTAGTTGTCCAGGTTGTTGTTTGAGTGCTCTGATGGTCTGATGATTTTCAGCCAAGGGCTGTGAACCTGTGGGCTGGTTTTTGTGCCAAAATAGACCAAAAATGCAGAGGAAACGGGAGTGGTGGCAGGACCTGGGAAATGAAGCAGGAGCTGTGTGGAACACAGACCAGGTTTGGTGTGGGAGATGCTCTGTGTGGTAACATCAGCTTCCAGCTTTAGAAATGGTGAGAAAAGGAGGAGGTGAACACAAACTGAGTGTTGGGTTGAAGGCTGGTCTCTGATTTCCAGGTGTGAGGCCGTTGGCTGCTGTAGGGGAAGTTTTTTTGGGTGTAGGTTGAGCAGCTGGGTCTCTTTGTTGGGAATTGGTGTTGAGGAAATGTGTTTTACAACCTCTGGAAAGGCCCTGAAGCTGCTGGGTTAGCTTTCTGCATCTCAGCCTTTCCGTGGTTGTTTCTATTCTCTGTCCCTCTTCTCTGGCTCAACTGCAACAATGTGGATTTTAAGCTGCAGAAGTTGCAGCATTGGCTGAATCTGAAAAACTGCAGAAGGTCGTGGCTGGGAACACTTCCTGAAATTTGAAGTTTTGGCTCTTAACTGGTGCTGCTCTAACCAATTTGTCATCTGGTGATAAGCAGCAACGTGCAGCAGAGTCAGAGCTGAGCATCCCAGTGGGTGCTCACTGCTCACACGTCCCTGATTTGAGCATTGCTTCTCAACCCTCTTTTGGATGAGTCAAAGCAAAGTGACTTTCTCAAGGTTTTTCTATCTTTTCTCCCTTAGTCACTCATGTCTTCACTTGTTTCTGTCTTAATGCATTGGCTCAATATTCATTTGCAATTGAAAGATGGTTCTTATCGATTCATTGATGAAACATCTAGGCTCAG